TTGGACTGTAGTTTTACTGAGAATGAGAAAGGAAGAAAGCTGGAACAGGAGGTACTGAGATTAAATTTTCCTAAGTGGAGAAATTCCAGATCTGTGCTGTCCAATACGGTAGCTACTAGCCACATGTGGCTATTTACATTTAAATTAATTAAAATTAAAAATTATGTTCCTCAGTCAAACGAGCCACATTTCAAGTGCTCAAGAGCCATGCCATAGCTACCATATTGTCCAGACTAGATGGGGCAGATAAAACATTTCCATGGACCACGTAGGAAGGTCCATTGGAGAATGCAGCTAATGCCAAGTTCTAGGGAATGCCCAGAAGTATGAGTTGCTGAAATCAATAGAGACAAAAGCCATTGAGGGAGACACAGTCGAGGAAGCAGGAAGGTGGGGTGTTGGATGGGTTTTCCACAGATGTTAAATTCAGCCTGTGGCAGGAGTTCCCATGGAGAAGATATGAGCTAGACGCTCAAGTCAGTCCTCAGCAGGTGATGACCAGACAGACAAACACCTAGCCTTCGTTGGGAGTTGTAATGCGCTTCCTGGCGGTCCATCCTAAACCCTTCAGTCCCACTGTAGCCCCTTACCTCTGAAACATGCTTGACTGATTCAATCTAGGCCCTACCCCAGAGTAATGTTCCAGGTCCCACTAAAATTTCTCCTGAACCGTTCCCCTGGTTCAACTATATCAGGTTGCTTTGGCCGACTCAACACTGGGTGGAAAGGGAACCTGCTGAGTTAACTCTCTGCGGTCAGGTTAACTAGGTAGTGGAAAACAATGCATCTGTGGGCATGGCCACAGCTTCACACGGAAGACTTAACAGAGACTATCTGTACCAGGATACACAACAAAAGCAATCTTCATTCACTGAAGAACAGCAGTAGTTCGTGTATGTCTTCTGGGTTTATTAAACACATCTGTCATAATCTAGGGCTTACACTGAAGCTTTTTCAGGGTCAAGTCAAGAGGGATGTCTCTCAACGTGGTAGGTGATATGCCTAGTCATGTTGGCTATTCATAGCCAACCACATCACAGAGAACAACTTCCAGGGCATCAGAGCTGGCTGCCACACCGTGTCCCCCTTCCCTTTTCTTAAGAGCTACCAGCCATGAGCCACAAGCCCACAGTAACTTCCCCACTGCCGTCAACTCATGAGGCAGCATGAGTCCTCCCAGCCTCTCATTGCTCGGTCCCTGGACCCAGTGATTACTGTAACACCAGAAGACGGAGGCAGCTACCACACTGGAAAAGTGGTTAATGCTTCATTTGGATGAGTAAACGAAATCTCTCTCTCTATAACTTAATAATTATAAGGGAAATGAGCCCAGTCTCTTTTCTCCTGTCACTAATGCTAATCCCTCTTAACTGTGTCCATTCTTGTTAATATGTGCAATTTTACTCCTACTTGTTTTTAAGAATTAAGAAGCTGGACACACAGTCCTTTTTCTTATTTTTCCATAAGTTACGTTTTAGTCTCTCGATTCTCTGGGCTGTATAGTTATTTGCATGTAATAGGCTCTTCCACAGAAACACACAGCAGCAAATTCCTCTTGACAAGCCACAGGAAGCTCACTGAGTCATGACACATGCCACCAAACAGCCTCCCAAGAGGCAAACGGTCCTTTTCCTCAGGTGGCGTATGCTTCCACCCAGTTTCAGCAAGACTACATGGTCTCACGTGACTAAGGAAATCACTTTCTTGATTTGTGAAGTTACAGAAAGATGTGGAGTTAATATCCGATTGAGCTAATTAAATTTTAAGAGATGTACGCTCTACCAGGCTTTCTTCCTCCTCGGATTTAGTGAAACATTTTTTTAAAATCTTAGATTGAATTACAGGTCAATCTTTTAAATTTGTTTTTTCACTCTACTGTTTAATCATTCCCTATGAGAATCCCAAATCAATTTTTTAAATTTTCATTTTATTTTAAATGTTACACAATAAGTAACATTAACAGAAACTAATCTGCCAAGTGAGTATTTCTGGTTCTCTCCCACTGACTTGGCAGCCTGAAGCCATTCCATATCGACATTACTTTCAATGTTTTCAGGAGGGAAGCTGTTAGGGCTTTCAGCACACATAACAGATTATCAGCAGACGTTAGTTAACTCATGAACCTGCATCTGAATATCCATCAGATACCCATGGGATCTGGGATAGTATGGCTCCAGCGTCAGCCTGAAGAGTAACCTCAGAGATGGACATCATCCTTACCTCCCTCCCCAGGGCAGCAATAAGACAAAGAAAGGGAGACTGTAAACCATTGATTTGAACCATATAAATGGGTTGAAAATAAATTATGCTGTTATATTTGTCCCCAAAACCAAATTTACCTAACACATAATACAAGTAGTCCCATTCAGCCGCATGAAAGGACTTCTTGGCATCTAATGAAATGTTGCTATTGGTTCCAGTTTTCCTTTTGTATTCCAGGGAGCTGCACCAGCCCACGCAGACCACCCCACACTTATCTCCCAGGCAGAAAGCCTTCCCGGTCAAGGGTCAATTCGACTTGTGATTACTTTATTTAGTCATGTAGCAAGTGTTCTGGTATCTATTATTTTGTGTCCACTCATATTGTATAAAAGGATATTTTTCACAGTACTGCTAAGGGGGGGTAACACGCAATCTTGAGTATAAGGGTATACGGATACATGACAGGATGAAGGAATACAGGCCTGGATTCCAAACCACAGATAACATCCGATGCTTTAAAAATTCAGTACAAACCATTTAAATTTACTCACAGTCTATTTCTGCAACTAGTGGCTGTTCAGTGTGCTGACAACAGAGAGAAGTTAATGTGTTGGTAAGAAACCTAAATTGTTATAAAGCGATTTTGAAAGTAACTCAATGCCCCAGAAACTAATATCAATTGCTCCTTGCTTTTCTTTTCTTTTTTTTTTTTGTGAGGAAGATCAGCCCTGAGCTAACATCCATGCTAATCCTTCTCTTTTTGTTGAGGAAGACTGGCTCTGCGCTAACATCTATTGCCAATCCTCCTCCTTTTTTCCCCCCAAAGCCGCAGTAGATAGTTGTATGTCATAGTTGCACGTCCTTCTAGTTGCTGTATGTGGGATGCAGCCTCAGCATGGCTGGAGAAGCTATGTGTCGGTGCACGCCCGGGATCCGAACCCGGGCCGCCAGTAGCGGAGCGCGCGCACTTAACCGCTAAGCCAGGGGGCTGGCCCACTCCTTGCTTTTCAATTGCCATTGCAAGCCTGCTCCAAACTTCTGTTCTTCAGTTCAGCATCTGCAAAGAAAAGGCAGGTACAGAATACCTCCATAGGAGAGTCCTGAGTATTGCGATCACAAGAAGTTCTTCTTTAGAACATGCTCTGATATATTTCCAAGGTTTTTTCCTCCCAAGTCTTGATCAACCCTTTGATGCCCTGAGAACAGTGATTTGCATACAAGTGGAAAACTGAACAAGGGAGAATAAGGGTAAAACCAGGGGATAATTTGAGGGTTCCTATAACCTACACCCTGTGAGACAGCACACTGTAGGGAGAAGGGCCTAGCCTGAGGAGCTAGTTTAATCTCAGCTCCACCCTAACCCACCAGTATAGCTTTGGCAAAGCTGCCAACAGCAGTAAGCTTGGGTTTTCTCACTCACAAAAGGTGGTTACACTCACTCCTGGAGTTGTTTTAAAGATCAAAAAAGATACATATGTATAAAGAACTTAATAAAATATTTAATGCTTAATAAATGTCAGCTATTTCATTCTAATTACTGTTAATAATAAACTGAGCTCTCTGTGTAGCTATATTTGCATTGTTCAGCAATCACAGAAGGGTCATTTCCAGGGGCACCGAGGATTCAGGTCAGGCTTCGTGGCACTATGCTGGGAAAAGAACAACATTCACAAAGTGCACTGTGAAAATCTACTTTGTGACTAACCCACACAGACTAAACACACTTTTTAAACCTACAGCATCTGAAGACAGGATTTCAAATTGAAATTACAAAATAATAAGCACAAACTAAAAAATAATTTTAAAAAATCTTTTCCCTTATCGTCAATCTTCTGTATTAACCCAGTACACGTCATTGAGTCCGAGAGATCCAGGTTTTCTTGACACTTATTGGTTAGATATAAAGGAAAAAAAAAATAGTTAATAGAATGAAGGTACAGAAAAAACATTCTTCCTAGGACTTCCGAGTTATCGGAACCCAGTCATACATGCTTGCAAAACAAAAAACAGTTCATAAGCAAATAGTCTCGAGTTTAAATGCATAGAATGTAATAATTCAAAAGGATTCAGCTTCAGCAGAATTCTGTATTTCTATAGTCAGAGTTAATTGTTGCTAAAAAAGCTAATTTCCAATAACATAATCTTTTCAAGTATGCTGCAGAATTTTTCTTAATAGTTGGAAAAATATGTTTGGACTCCAAGTGAAGCAATTTCTAGAGAAAACACATGATCCAAACCTGAAGCTAAAACTGTTACGTACACACGCAGAAATGTACACAATGCTACCAGGATATATGCAAACAGGGAGCCACTCAGTAAACGTATTGACCTCTGGTAACAGCATAATCCAGTCTCATCAGGCATCTCCCTCTCGTGCACTAATATGTGACATCCAACATGCACATCATCTCACGATGGAGTGAAATAGAAGCCCTCTAGATTGCAACCCTAGGATAATCAGAGTCTGCAGTGCTCATTATGACTGCAATTATGTAACAAAACTCTCCAAATACGGCTCAGTTACTGCAGTTATTAATCATTCTAGTTTTGTTTCAAGTGCTTGCTTTATAGCCTGCTGGATGGACTCCATTCTGCTACAAGCTGAATGTCAAAGTCAGACACGTGCAGGGGAATCTGCTGTTCTAACGGCCTCAACATAACGTACCCTTTCAATCTGTATCTGTGAATACAAGAAAAGTGGAGAAACAAAGCTGTGTCAACAGAGTCACCGACCTTTGCAGTAAACAGAAGACAGTCCCTAACAGAAAACAACTTGGCAAATAAACACTTATTTTGGCAGAACTAGAAATAGTGCTACTTAAGAAGTTAGTTTCAGAATACCAATCAGTTCTTACAGAAAAGGGGGAAAAACTCTGAAAGAATCTGTATATTTGACAAGAAGAGGCCTGCAATGTGCATTTTTAAAGGTTCAAACATCATGGATAGAAGGTATTTCTAAATATTTTACACATAAAACTATGTATTCTGATTAATTTAACTACAAAATGCCAAGTAAAAGACAGCAGATTTATTATACAGAACAAGCACCATCTGTACCACCTTAAATCATTGCTAGAGATATATTTGCAGGAAAAAAAATACACCTGGAAAATTCCCAAGCCTAGATTCTAAGATGCTAAGGTGTCAACTAAACAGGATTCCAAACAGACCCAGGGACAGTGACTCCATAAATACTTAAATGTTAACATGCAGAGAGCTCAGAAAAATAAATATAATACTACATTGACATGGTTCACAAAATGCATGCCACTGTTTCACGTAGTACACAATTTTTTCAACTTGGCTACATACATTGGGCCCCAGGCTTTGCCCTTATCTGGAATCACCAAGAGCCCACATTCCTGGCCAGTGGGAGCAAATGTGAAGTCTTGGGAGCAAGTCCTTGCCATGTCCTCAATGTCCACAGGCACGACGTTACTGTGAGTGTTTAAAACTTCACTGATCACATCTTGATTTTCTGCCTTGGAAAGTGTGCATGTAGAATACACAAGGAAGCCTCCGGGACGTAAGGCTTTAATTGCAGACCTGTGTGCAATCAGGAAAATGCAGAAGACTGGTTAGGTGCGTTAAAAGGAACTGTGGGGTCTGAAACCAACCTTCCTCAGACCCAGATGCAGTAATGCTGGATGTCTCTAGTCTCATGAGCCATTTCTTCCTAATGTGTCCCTGGATGACCGGGAAAATGGTAATCAGATTAATCAACACAGGAAATAGGATTTCCCAGGAAAGGAGCAAGAAAAAAAGTGTACTCAAGACAGACACTCACAGAATGCCTATACTTAAAAGGAGGCAGAACTTAGAAAGGAAATTGAGAAGTTTCACCAGACGAACACGTAGCTTCAGGGAAAAGATGGGAAGGAAGGTTTTTTTTCCAAGGAGAAGATTTGAACATATTTGAAAATGCAGATCCAGGAGAAGAACAGTCCCAGGGCTTCAGACTGCAAATGGAGGAGTTGGCCTCAGAAAAGATGGGGTTCCACTCTTCATCTGAAACAACATGGGAGCACGAACATGGAACTGGGATGTTTCAAGGTCAACAACGGTTCATGACAGACAGGGTACTAAGAGAGGAGAGCGGGGCACAGTCGTCCACTGGGAGATAAAACCAGAAACATTTTAGTCCTGCTGCCATGGTGATAACTCCAGAGCAACTGCCAACCAAGAACTTTTTTTTCTGAAGAAATCGTGTTCCAGAATCTCGACTGGATTTAAGAGTACAGTCAGCCCCATGTCTCAAATCTACATTTAAACAACTAGAGCACATTCCAATAACTGAGGTTTATAATGAAGATCCACATCATCAAAATAAGTTCAAATTCCATTCTCTATGTTCGATTACTAAAGGAACGAAGAATGCTAATTCAAGACAAGCAAACCGATGACAAGGTTTTCTCTCCTCTCTCCTTCCTTAGACACCCTTAAATATGACAGGAAAGAAAAAATTAAGTAGTAACTCGAAACAATAAAGTAAATAGGATAGAGAGAATTATTAAATAACAACAGGTTCCAACAATTTCTGAAAGATGATATGCAGACAGAGAAGTGATCTGGATCCAGCGGGTGGAGAGGGCCTCTCACAGTGAGGACTACAGCAACGGAGGGCCACTCTGACCCGCCCAACTGCAGAGAAAACACCAGATGAAATGCGATGGGAGTAAAAAGTGAAAACAAAGATATTAATTCAAACCATGTATAAGAAACGATGGATTCCATACTCCCATACATGGCAAGTCAGAGAGCCAGGTAAAACATTGAAAGGATTTTATCTAAGAAAGTTGAATAAACACTTTGGGGAGACCTAAGGCAGCCACTGTAGATGTCTGCCCCCAAAGCAAACAACTCTGCACTCTACCTTGAAGGGAGCCTCCAGAGTCACAGCCAGCCCATCCTGAAGCGACATCACCAGGCAAGATCCCGCCCCTAGAGGGAACCTCCTAGTCCTTGACTGTCCACTGTCAAAGAAGAACGTACAAACAAGGAGCGTGGATAACTGAGCGAGAAATGCCCAAGCAATGTGTAAGAGCAAGAATAAAATAAACAAACAAAAATGGCAAGGAAGAAACAGACAATTCAGGAAATAAGAGATACAATAAGACCCAATAAATGCAGACATCAGCAAAGATACAGCACCCATAAAACAGTAACAGAATGCCACAAAACAGTACCAGGAAGAGACAGCTTAGGAATTAAACATGTTTGTCAAAATAAAGAGCATTTTGTACAAGTGTTTGGAAGTTAAGGCTGAAGAAATCTTCCAAAAAAGTAGAATAACAGAGTGACTGAAAATGAGACAGGGAAGATCAATCAAGTGGATCCAAATTTCAACTAACAGGAGTACTGGAAAGACAATACAGAGAACTGGGGGAGGGGACCTGAATTAATGAAGAAGAAGAAGAGAGTCTTCCAGAGACGAGAAGGATAGGAGTGTTCAGATTGAAAGAATGCATCAAGAGGCCACAATGCTTGTTATTATTTATTGAGCATCTATTACATTGTTTTTCTAGGTGTTGGGTATATATTGAAATAGAAAAACGACAAAAACACCTCACCTCCGTGAAGCTTACACTCTAGTTGGGGAGACAGAATATAAAAAAGTCTGTCGTGGGCTGAAGTGTGCCCCCAAATTCATATGTTAAAGTCCTAACACAGTGTGTGACTGTATTTGGAGACAGGATCTTTAAAGACATAATTAAATTAAAACGAGGTCTTTAGAGTGGGCCCTAATCCAACACCACTGATGTCCTTGTGAGAGGAGATGTGGGCACAGATACACACAGACGGATGTGCCGTGAAGACACAGGGAGAAGACAGCTGTCGACCAGCCAAGCAGAGAGGCCTCAGGAGAAACCACCCCGCGGCACCTTCTCTCAGACTTGCAGCCTCCAGAACTTTCAGAAAATAACTTCTGTGGTTTAAATGCTCCCATCTGTGGTACTTTGTGATGGTAGTCCTAGCAAACTGATACAAAGTATATACACATATATACAAACACATGTATACACAAATACATACACACACCACACACACATGGATGTGTGTTTGCTTGTGTGTTTTTCCTTCACCAAGCAATCCCCCAATTCTCTGCAAACATTGACTGCACGTCCTGAAATTTAAGTCCATTCTGACTCTCCACCTGGAGTTTGTATCAGATCCCCAGGCCAAGAGCTCAGTCCCACAGGCTGCCCCTCACATGCCAAGCGCCAGTCCAGGCGCCGGTACTCCTGACCCACAACCCCTTCTTTGGGTTCAATAATTTGCTGGAATGGCTCGTAGAACTCAGGAAAACAGCTTACTTTCTTTTTTTTTTAAAGGAAGATTGGCCCTGAGCTAACATCTGTTGCCAATCTTTCTCTTTTTTTCCCTCCCCAAAGCCCTAGTAGACATTTGTACGTCACAGTTGTACATCCTTCTAGTTGCTCTATGTGGGCTTGATGAGTGGCGAGTAGGTCCACGCCCAGGATCCAAACGGGTGAACCCCAGGCCGCCGAAGCAGAATGCGTGAACTTAACCGCTACACTACCAGACCAGTCCCTGCTTTCTAGAATACTGATTTATCACGGAAAGATACAATTCCGGAACAGCCAGATGGAAGAGACACTTAGGGTGAACTATGGGAGAAGTGGTGCAGAGCTTCCATGTCCTCTCCAGGCAGCCCTCCAGCACTTCCTCACCAACCTGGAAGCCCTCCAAATCCCTTCAGGTAGGGTTTCTCATGGAGGCTTCATTAAGGAGGCACAAGTGATTAAATCATTGGCCACTGATGATTGAGCTCCATCTCCAGCTCCTCTCCACTCCCTGGAGGCACGTCTGAGGAAAGAAGAGACCAGTGAGGCTGCAGGAAGGTAAGCAAGTGAGGTGGTAGGATGAGATGAGATCAGAGTCAGGAGGAAAGGCAGAGGGTCTTATACAACACTGCAAAACTTCAACCTTACAATGAGTGAAAACATCCACACTTTTGCATTACTGTTCAATTTTAGAACTTCAAGAGCAAAGAGAAGATGCTAAATGCCTCCAGAGAGAAAATGAGTCACCTGTGAGGGTCCAGGAATGGGACTGGCATCAACGGAGTAGTGCACTCCAAATCCTGGAAAAATGGCAACATGAAGTGGATGCTGTTTATTGCCAAACTGGCAAACAAATATAGGAGGGATACAGAAATTTTCAGATTGTTTGAGAATTTAGAAATTTTACCTCTAGTAAAATGAGGAGGTAAATCCAGAAGAGGAGAAATGTGATATAGAAAACACTGATGGTAACACAAGAGCGCAGTCCCAGGATGATAACTGCATGGGAACCCTGGAGGGTGACCGCTCCAGATCAGAATGATGGGTAGGTCTCTAGAGCCCGGAGTGTGACCGCTCCAGATCAGAATGAGAGGGAGAGTTCTAGAGCCCCGGAGGGTGACCACTCCAGATCAGAATGAGAAGGAGGTCTCTAGGGCCCCGGAGGGTGACTGCTCCAGATCAGAATGAGAGGGAGGTCTCTAGAGAGAAGTGAGAAGGGATAGAGAGACCCAATGACTGGAAACTGAAAAAATCTTGAAGATTTGGGACATGTACCTGTGGGGGAGAGAGAAAAAGAGAGGAAGGAAGAGAGCAGAGAGATTTTCCCCTCTAATCTGATTGTAGGAAATTTCCTTTCGGTGGCACTCCGATCATAACACTGAGCCAACGGAGAAGGAAATTTAATTCTAACATATTAGTTCATCTACAGTATACAACACTCACAGAATTAAACAATATATACTTGTTACTGATCTTCACTCTTCAGAGTCATTCCACAGACTGATGTTGGTAACGTTTCCCCACACCCAACATCTTTGTCTTTAGTTGAGGATGGTATTTAAGGTAAGGGCTTTGGCCATTTTGGTGAGTTACTCGGTTTTCCTGGGTTTCTCCCATGTATACGTGTTATTAAACTTTTGTTTGCTTTTCTCCTGTTAATCTGTCTTATGTCAATTTAATTCTTAGACCAGCCAGAAGAACCCAGAAGGGTAGAGGAAAATTTCCTCCTCCCCTACAGTACTTTCACAAACCCAGACGGTATAGCCCACTACACACCTACGCTCTATGGCACTAATCTTACGGGACCACCATCGTATACGTCGTCTGTCGTTAACCAAGACGTCGTTAAGTGGCACGTGACTGTACTGAGAATTATTTTATACCACAGAAGATGTTTTTCTCACAAATTGAACCAGTCCATATTTAGGTCTACCACTGGTTTTGCAGAAGGTATAAAGCTATCTCTAAAATTAGCATTTATCAATACACACAATAGTTTCTTCACTTTACATACATAAATGGCAATAGATACTCTATCTTACTTAAGGCTTGAGTATTTAACAACTATATAATCAGATTAGTTCAATGATTTGAAAACCAATACTTCTGGTACTGGTATTCCAATAAAAACGAAAAGATAGATTTAGTATGGTTTTACAATGTACTAACTGAAAATTTACTAACTCCTAAAATATAAGTACCTAAATATGCCGTACTCTGCCCACTACAGTAGTTTCTAGG